TAGTGTATTGAATGACATACCTCTCCATTATGAATGCCATCACATGTATACATATTTTTTTAACAACTAGATTTCCATTTTTATTAAATAAGTATTCTATCCTCATATTCCTCTCAACCTCCCTACTTCCTTATTTATGCTTGCTTAGCGAAATTTGAGCTAGAATTCTAGAGCAAATTTGTGCTAGTTAAGACTAAATCGTCGGATATGGAGTGATTCATGCTGCTAGAATATGCCCTCTCTTAGAACGTATTTATTCCATCTTTAAAGGTGGTTTTTGTAGGGATTACTGCCTATATGACGGTACTAAAATTGTGGATACATGCCGTTAAAGACAATTGAAAACAAATATAATTTGCATTTACCAACTAACATTTTATTTTTACTCACTTAATTCGAACTTATAACTGTATTGGCATAATCGTTTTCATTTGATTTGAAATTTTCAAAGAATCACGGCATTAAAATTGCGTGAAATTATTGCAAGTGCTATTCTGTCATAATTAGCTTAACTTTACCTGTCTCTTGGTGTTCCTAAGGTGTAGAAGAACGTGGGTAATACGATGCATATCCAAGACGGGCATTTGCCTTAGTCTAGAGAAATGTCTTATAAGCCATTAATTGCTTTTATATTCTTTTTTCCACCTATTTATCGAATGCGTGCTTATATGAGAAATCGATTAAAACAATTAGTGCGACATGTCAGCAGAAAATTTTATTGTTGAAAATGAATTGATTTTAAAACTGAGTCTTCGTTTAGCAGTGCTTTTCATTTATAATCAGCATAGACCTCTTTGTCGACTTATTCGCTACGTATAGTCATCTTTAGCCTGTTGGACTGTCAAATTTAATACATTTTTAGTCCAGCATTTTTACCTGGGCTTTTGGTGGTACTTGGGGTGGTAAGGTCTTGGTTTCTTTTCATTTTATTCTATCGCATATGTATCTACATTGTATCTTGGCCCTATCAAATGAACCTTTCATGAAAAATGAGCACTCTTAATCCTCATAAACCATTCAAAGTCAATTATTTTGGTCAGAATAAGCAGGGGAGCGACATAAAGCATTCCAGAGATTTTTATACTAGACGCCATTCTTTGAAGCTACGCACTGAAATAGATCCATATTACCAGATCGTCAGAGATATTGGACTTTGTAGCGATTCGGAATTCAAGGACCACTATTTGTCGCCTCAGGTACTAGATAGTGAAGATATGGACGAGACTGACGACGACATTGACGAAGAGCGGGAGGACAAAGATCAGAAGAGTACTATAGAAGATGAACAAGAGGAAATAGATAATCTTTACAGGCAAAGAACTTCATTAACTGACAGAGTTGGCGCAGTCAAGAGTCTTAAGAAAGAAATTACCTCATCTCAATCGGGCAGAGGATCTATTTCGAATCAACCAGTGGTGAGCGAGGCTAATAACGAAGCAATTAGGTCACCGAATACATCTACAAGGAGAAATAAGAAAGCTCCTCTGCTGCGAATTCTGCATTTGGGTACACGCATAAGGCACAGTAAAAAATACCAGGACTCAGTTGCTAGTGACAAGTCTGCAACCTCCTTGCAAAGGCCGGAAGGTAACCTCCAAGTGGATACTGCTCTACAGAATACGAAAGCTGGAGGGGTAGGTGATAGGCGGGGAGCATTTATGAGACAACATTCGTATGGAAATACACAAATCGGCCAGATTTACCAACAAAATCAATTCATGGCATCAGGGACAATCGAAACGGGTGAGGAAGCCAGTAAAAATAAAGGGTCACAGGCGTTGGATATGATTTCTATTCGGACAGACTCGATTGCCTCCGGTGTTCTTGAAGATTTTAAGGGGAAAGCTGATGAATGGGAAATAGATAGAGCAATTCGAGACAAGGATCACAGCCGTTCGCTTTCTCCATCATCCAAATGGCAGCTCCATAAAATCAAGAAAAAGCCCCTGCAATCATCTCAAGGTCATTCAGGACAGAAAGCCTCACCAAACATGTCGAATTTATCGGAATATTTTGTTTTAAAGAACGACGAACTGAATGATATCACCCTGAAGCATCGTTCTGGCAGACAGGAGCCTCCAAGCCGGCAAGATCAGTTAAGTTCAAGCCAATCTATGCAAAGAACTCACTTTTTGCAGCCTTCTTCATCTCGTCAGACCCAGGATCTGATTCCTGATCCGGTTTCGGTCCAAGGACCAACTGAAAAAAAACCTAAACAAACTATATCGGTGCTACGACAAAAACGTGTCTCCCCCGATCAGCATAGCCAGATCCTCAACCGCTCCCGGCCTCGCAGAGTTGGCAGAAATGCGAGTGATGATATAGGTTCTTCAAAGGTACCCTCAGATACTTCATTAATTACTGTCGTCATGCTAGAGGGCAATGATAAGATGCCAACCTTGATTCGATCACGTAGCATTCATGATCCTACTTCTGCTCAATCAGAATCAGATATTGATCCAGATTTCAATGTCAATCAAACAGAAAAGCCACAAATTATTTTGTCAGACCCTATTTCTAAAAGATCTCACAATTCTTCTGCGGCTAAACCTTTATGTGAGTCTCTTTTTCCACTATTAACCTCTTACTTTCCTGCTCTATTCGTTATCAAATTTTGGGGCAAGAGGGGCTATTTTACAAATTTCAAGTTAAGCAAGTTACTTATGAGCTTGAAAATATCATGATTAAAATTAATTGACAGGCCTATTGAAGTGGATGACCTCGCTGTCACAACTTGGTCTTGTTGTCAGGGCGACTTAGTAGAACGCAGTTAGTCCGAAGTCGTCTGCTATAATAGTTATTCTAAGTCCCAGTAA